CCCTTCCGGGTCCGCCTATGTGCGTGAACAGACGTGGGTTTAGGCATATTTGTGGGAATAAAATTCCCAATCCGGGAATCGGTCCCTGAAATAAACGCATTGTGCTCGTTGACCTGAAAAGTGCATTATTCCCAAGAGAAAACAATCGCCCCCCTCCTCCCCCCCATCCCCCCCAAAAAAAAGCTGATTTTAATCCTAACAAATATCACATTAAGCATCGCTAAACAAAATCCCCAAAAAAGTGTTGAAAGCAGGATGAACGAACCGTCTAATGAATCAGATGGAGCTCCGCTAGCAAAACGATCTCGGACAAAAGAACCCAGTTCCTGGGCCACTGAAATAAGACCAAGATCCAGTGCTCGAAGCTGTGCCAAGAGTAATTTCGCCGATAAACTTAATGAATTGCATGTTAATCGATGGCATTGTACACAAGTTCCTTTCATTATCTGAAAATTCAAATGTAACATCGGACAAAAGACCGAGGCTAAATTTTTGTAAATTTAAAATTATACCGAAGAAAACATGGCCACAATATTAAAACTTCTTGAACTGGGACCCATCCCCAAACACCTGGCGCAACTCTATTAAATAAGTTCGCAGCTTGTTGCCCATCTTACAGAACAATTTTCCCAAAATATCGGTTATTTTAATCAAACAAACTGTCTTTCACTTATCTATCTTATCAACCGTCGTAGTTTAAACTGGGACTTACTAACATAAATACTTCATCACCAGTAAAATAACAGAGTAGGGGATAAGGGATCAGTCTAAGTATCACATGCAAGAAGACATGTTTGGATGTAGTCTGTGTTTTATCCCTTAGCTGTAAACAATGACTGTTTGAACTGGAAGTACCATGCAAAAATGAATGGCACTGCCACCATTCAAGGTCTTTTTGTTCCAATTTCTGCATTACATACGCATATTAAGTAGATCTACCCTGGTTAAACGGGAACATGGAGCACTAGAATAAAAAACTCCGTATCAGACATCCCCACGTTTTTATGCAGACACACATCACTGGCTCTCTTCCTGCAAATGATGGCAATTATTTTCACTTCTTCCGTTGTTTTCTCGTCAACTTTGTCTCAAACCACCGTTATTATTGTTTGACTTTAAATTTCTGCTAGTATTCAACATCAGTCCTGACCACAGGGGGATCCAGCGTGGACTCCCGGGGAGGGAGGGGGCGCGAAAACTCTACTTTTCATCCTCCGTCGCCTCCTGGAAGCGACAGGGGAAGGGGAGTAGAGTCCCCTTCTATCCCGGAACTATGCAAAAACTGGAAATAGAGTTGTAAAACTGCTACTCAGAGTTACTTTAGCCTTTAACTTACTTTGGTTTTAACTTTAGACCCAGGCTTTTGCAACACTAGTGTCTGAGCTGCTGGAGGGGAGGGGGAGATGGAGGGACAAAAGACCCATCGTCCCCCTGCCCAGCCTCCTCCTCCGCTTTGGATTCATCTCTAGTCCAGCCACATTCCCAAATACGTTCCAATTCACTTTTCCGCTTTAAATCACATAATCTGTTCATGAAGCAACTCGCGAATTGGATTCAAAGTTTCTGTTTTTTTTTTTATACCAATGCTGAATTTCCCTCCTCCCCCCACCCCCCTTAATTCAGAATTACTATAACTCAATGAAAACTTCGAGAGCTCTGTTACTAGTATCACAAGCCAAGGCGTGATACAGTGAAAATCTACAACAAATCCGAGCGCAAAATTTCATCTTTTGACATAGAGCATGCGAGAAAAACAAAAAAAAAAAAAAAAATTACGGAAAAAGGGAAGTTGAACAGAAGCGGATTGAAAACGGGCACATCCAGCTGAATATATCCCATGTGTCCGGGGCAATAGGCTCCTTGCTGATGGCATGTCTCACAGGTATCACTGCTCTCCGATGGTCCCAATCTTGGATCATATAAGCCACCACGAATTGGATGTCCCACCTGGAATAAATGAAGAAGTTATTCCATCTGAATTTATTGATTCTTTGAAGCTAAAATCAAAAATCCAAATGCAATGAAGTCAATTAGTAGGCACAGAAAACTCATGAACTCCCAAAACTGTTAAAGTGGAAGCACTATGTTAGTGTTTTTACGTTTTATTTAAAGATAAGGTAGAAAATGAGAAGGAAAAAGAAGAGAAGGAGAGAACAAAGTGAAAATAAACAGCATCGCGCACCAGACTAGCCGGTGCGATCATGCGTTTTGTGCAATTCAGCCCATCGAACGACTGCCTATTAATGATTTTCACTGCTTTGTAATTTGAAACTTTGAAGGGTGAATATCCATCCGTGATTCCCGAGATCATAGTTTACCGCAAAAATTTTCATGAGGCGTAGATGGTATTCGAGAGTGCGGGAACGCTGATTTTGAATTTGCAAGATCGTACGTAGGCAGGGGTTCATTACCCCAAAATCTCAGCTTCCTAGCTTTCGTGGTTCCCGAGATCCGAAACACTTTTATGGGGCTGTGCGTGTTACCCGCAGATACAAGAAGGTTGGATTTGAGTTTTTTTTTGGGTTACATGTGGTCAAGGAACAAACACATAAAATTTCAGCTTCCTAGCTTTCGTGGTTCCCTAGGTACTGATTTCATCCAAAAAACTTTTACGAGGCCGTACGTGTTACATGCGGGTATGGGAAGGCTGAATTTAAATTTACCGTATCACCCGTTAGCGGGGAACACTATACTAAAATTTCAGCCGCCTAGGTTTTGTGGTTCCCGAGTTGAAAGTGCGGGACGAAATGTGGGACACACATATACACACACAGACACACACAGGCACACACACAGACACACCCACACAGACACACAGACACCGTGACAATATACGCTTTGTACTGTTGTTACACAGCATAAAATTATAAGAGTGACTAAAACTTTATGCAAAAAAAAGAAACAGGCCTCGTCGAAAGTTTTTGTTTCGGTAATCCTCAGTACACTGAGTTGTTCGATTTCACGCGGATAGTAACACCTCAGCTGCACTCGATCCAGCATCATATAGGGCTCAGCGCCCATCTTGCTTCGGCCCGTACTTGACATTTCGTTAAAAGGAAAGATAAATGAGGGAAGTGAGTCAACGCGAATCTGCGCTCAGCTGAAAAAAAAAAAACGCTAAATTTATAAAAAAATAGGCAAAACAATCGATTTTCTTGCGTTACGTAAACGAAATTTTCCTAAAATCCTCAAACAGAAAATATTCCCATCGATCCTATAACTACTCTTGCCATAGCCGTTGCATTGACGAAGACGGTTCTACATTTACAGAAGATATAATAAATCACACGGACATATATTAATACATATTTGGATGGGGAACATTCCCTTAAAATTTCAATTCTTTAGCTTCTCAGATTTAGCAACTTACCCGAAAAAAAATTTCACAGACCCGTACGTGGGTACCACGCAAACCCGGGGGGGTGGGTTTGAGCTCATTAATACCACTTAGACAAGGAACATTCTTGGAAGATTCCAGTCTTCCAGCTCCTTAGGTCCCCGAGCTAGCAACTTACTCGAAAAAAATTTTGGCGGGCCCATACGTGGGTACCAGGCTTACCCGGGGGCCGAGTTTGAGCTCATTAATACCTGCGTGGAAGGGGTACGTCTCCTCAAAATTTCAGCTTTCCAGCTTCTCTGGTTTCCGAGTTAGCAGCTTGCCCGTAAAAAACTTTGACGGACCCGTACGTGGGAACCAGGCGGGTAAGAGCACTCCGTTTTGGGGGTGGGGGCCCGCACATGCATGCAGATTAAGCTCCCAACATTTTCATCCCCGTAACTTT